CGATTGGACCCAAGCCAGTACATGTTAACAATAGTCTAATTGTTAGCTGTAATGGGTATTGGGACCTGAGTCTTCCTGAGATAATCCCAGCATTCATAGACAACCCCATATCGGGTTAAGAGTTTCTCTTCACTGATCCTGGAGATTGACGATGAACACACGGGAGCATCGAGAAGATCTTCCAATCGTAGAGAGTAATTCAGGCAGGCATCTGCATACCATTCAAGGTACCTTACGTGTTGACCTACCCAGGTCGATAAAAACCGTTCGAGTAAATCTTCACGCCCTTCCCAGAAAGGTCTTATCATTTCCACCGACTCCTCATCGAGGGCCGGCGGTTTTGCCTTTCGTAGTAAGAAGGCACGGGCCACTCCGTACTCGTATACGCCTAGTATACCCTTGTGAGGCTAACCATATATTGAGAGGGAGTGGGAACAAAGAGGCCTGACCTCGTATACAAGGATAACCAGCATCTTTTCCATCTGCGAGATAAACCAGAGAACACTTTAACCGGTGCACTCATATCTACTCGAGACAGTACTCGATAACCAGCTCCCTTCAGGCGGAAGGCATTAGTCTTGCGCCTAATACCTAACACACTGAAAGCGTTCGCTGAGAGCGCGCTATACGCTAAAAGCACATTTGCCAAACTGACAGGACTCACATCCTGCCGGGTTGACAAATGATTATTAATTATAAAGCGTTTAGCGAACTCGCAGGTACCATTATGGGAGATCTGAAAGCAGTCTCGTTCATTATATCGAACCAGACTACTCCCATTTCCTCACCGAAAAGACCCTTGAGTATGCTTCCAGTTAGATTCTTAGGAAGCATATCAGTAGCGGCTTTAAGGTCGAAAGAGTATAAAACCCTATGACCTTTCAACCGGTGCAGAGGTCTCAGTTGGTCAAACTTCCCGTCTGTCCTTATAGTACTTAGGACGGACATAGCCCAATCATGAAAAGGTTTGACAAGCCTTTGCAAAATTGGGTTAGGTCAATTATATCGAGCCTGACCTTACCTGCACCCTCCAGCTTTAAACCAAGACGCCCAGACGGAGGTCGTGTCTTAACCGACTGCCACCACACTTTTTCAGCGGGCTCAATCAAGTTTTCGATTAACGATCTACACATGCGTGACCCGATGCTGCTTTTTGGAACTGGGTTCTCGTAACTGCAGTAATATCTATCCTCTCCCTTAGACTTGGGAAGGGGTAGATGCACACGCGGCTCGTAGAGCCATGTGCCAATAAACGACAGCAACTCTGGTTTCCAAAGAGTCAGAAGAGCCGTCGCATCAAGCGGCAAAGTATGAAATATGGTTCATACTTCTTCTTTGACACTCGATGACGACGGTCCCACTTTTCCTTCAGGAGAACCAAAGGCCTCACCTACCCGAGCCTCTGAGAGACTCTTAGCCGGTGTTAGGTCCGGATGTGAACACAGGTTCCCATGAGAATCCCAAATCCAATGGGATCTTATGGGCCCGGGGCACATACGCGAGCATTAAGGCATGACACGTGGTCATCAATTTTGTACACCACTTCCATGTCCCCGAATCGGGATGGTACTTAGGATGATGTATCGTTTGGTACTTCACCTTCCGCCATCTCGAGTCACCGACCTTCAACAGTCGGTAAAGTGAGAAGACAGTTAGGACCATCTTCAACACTTTTGGATCCCCTTGTCTCAGCATTTTTCGATACTGAGTTGGGATAAGCCTAGGCAGCCCTGTCTTGGTTAGAGAAATTGGTAAGTCTACGTTCGGTCGGGGGGCCACGCCTCTTGACCCTACATACCAACAAACAAGTTGTGAAGCTTGTTTGAGATATCGAGCCAAGAATAGTGGGCCGTTCTTACGGTAGATGCTTACAATCCTCCTACTCATATGGAGTATTGCCAAGCAATGTCCTTTGGTTTCGAGAAGGCTCTCTATTCGGTACGGAACTGACTCAATTTCTTGACGTATATAATCGTCGTGCACCTAGGACTAGGACGGACGGGGCTTATGGCAAGGGCAATTATCATCGCGCCTTTCTTATGCTTGACGAGAGTCTATCTTATTGGTGTCTCTATCGGCTAGCGCTAGGGCATTCTTTCACAAGCGCCTAAGACACTCTACTCTAAAAGAGTCAAGCAAGGGGCGAAGCGGTCCAATTCAATGTTTTACTCTTACGCATAGTAACTCTCCTGTTAGGAATCGATGATGCTGCTTATCCTATAGATAGAGAGTGTCGGCAATCACCTCCGCTATTTCAGCTGTTGTCGGCATAACTGCTTCGGTAGTATACTTACCTAAACAGATCATTCTCCCCATGATTAGCAGACCCTTCTCAACTCTAGCGATTTCAAGCGGACCAGTCGAACATTACCTTGCAAAGCGTTAGCGCTAGCCAGGTCAATAGTTCAAGTATCAATGAAAGTCTCTATTTCAGTAAAGTAGAAATGACAGCTGTTTAGGTAACAGAAGACAATGCCTGCGTTAGGTATGATTCCATCTTTGCGCAAGCAATAGCAATAATATATGCTATTTTCTTTTTGGCACAGCTCCTCTTTAATGCCAGTGGTGTGAGGGAGTTCGCTTTGTCTTTGGAGTACCTTTTGCCAAGGCCAAGAAGCTGTTCATGGTCCAAGCCTTTCATGTGCCGATAGGCAAAGGAAAGGTGTCCTTATAAGAGTATTCCACCTTTTCCCCTCTATGTGAGAGCTCATCCCGATGATAGATAGAATATCATAAGATAAGGAATCTTCCAACTGAAAATAGCGTATAAAAGAGTGATTTTCCCGGGCTCGAAACTGATCGTAGTAGAAGTAGAGGTGGCAGGGCCAGGCCAGACTTTGATAAGTCATAAATGCAGCTAATCAAAAGGTCAATGTAATCTTTCCAGCAATCAAACTACTTTAGTTAGCGCAACGGCTTTCGCGCGTCTTGCTCAATCCCTTGCTTGTTCCATTCTTCTCGAAATTCCAAACTGGAAAGAAGAGAAGAGGACGATCGAACGCAAGCAAGGAGACAGATATCAAGCAGGATATCCATGAGAAGGTTGCTAATTCTCGTGACTATACAGGAGGGGCCTGGTCAATCCGTAGATCTTTTGAGGATGCGCCATGATCAGGTCTCCCCTCTGAATATCGTGAATGAGCAAGAAGTAGGTGATCTCTATCTTTCCGCAACACGACTTTTAAGCGGTAGGAAGGGCGATACATCTTCTTTCCCCCAAGGAGCCAGCTCATTTCCCTTTAGTCCGAGGGATGCCGCAAAAGCACAAGAAATGGATTAAGACCAAAGAAGACTACTCATTAGCTTCTAATCTGATAAGTAAAATAGCTCCGAAAATAGCTTTTAGTGATATGCTAAACACCCATTGGCTGAACGATTCCCTCTCATCTCCTTTCTTCAGAAACCTTAAGGAAAAGGTCAAGAAGAGGACGAGAACCTTAGGGTGCAGATGATTCTTCCTCTTTCGAAGACGATGAGGACGGCTCTCTCGATCTTGGTTTTGGAAATCCTTTCATCGTGCATTATATCCATCCCTCTATCCTAAGAGGATCGAATCCTGGTACTAGGTCAAGCTCAGTATCCTGAGTCAATCGGAAGATGCCACCTAGCTGATCGAGTAGCCGGGCTATGCCGACGACCCAACCCAAGAAAAGGGGATAGCCGCCCGACCCCATCATTGCCGAAGGAGAATCTAATAGAGACATTACTGCGGAGATTCTGATCAAAAAATGAGGGAAGGTTGAGGAAAAGGCCTAACCCTAGACTGGCAAAGCTTGCCTCCTTTAAAAGAATTAGCAGGTTCGCCTTGCCTCTGCCCTATCGAAATACCTTATTATCATAGGCTCTTTGACCAGCAGCTAGCTCATTTTCCAGCCTTCTTTGGAAACTCGGCCAAGCAACGACTAAGCATCTCACCTGTAAGCTTTGGGAATGATCAACTCGTGCTTCTATTATGCGAAGCTACTTCATCGCGTACGCTCGCATCTCGTTAAG